GTAGAACATGTCCAGTGTCAGTAGAACATGTCCAGTGTCAATAGAAGATGTCCAGTTTCAGTAGAACATCTTTAGTGTCAGTTAAACATTTTCAGTGTCAGTAGAACATGTTCAGTTTCAGTAGAACATGTTCTGTGTCAGTAGAAGATTCCAGTGTCAGTAGAAAATGTTCGGTGTCATTGTTTAGTTTTTTCAACTCTTTTGAAGTGTCACTAGAAGACGTTGAATGTCAGTGTTCAGTGTCAATATAACTTTTCCAGTGTTACTAGAACATTTTCAATCCATAGAACACGTCCAGGTTCAGTAGAATATGTTCACTGTCAGTAGAACAGGTTCAGTGTCAGTAGAACATGTTCAGTGTCAGTAGAATATCTGTCGTGTGAACAGAAGTGGTCCAGTGTCAGTATAAGACGTCCAGTGTCAGTAGAAGACGTCCAGTGTCAGTAGAACTTGTTCAGTGTCAGTAGAACATGTTCAGTGTCAGTAGAACATGTTCAGTGTCAGTAGAACACGTTCAGTGTCAGTAGAACAAGTTCAGTGTCAGTAGAAAACGTTCAGTGTCAGTAGAATAGGTTCAGTGTCAGTAGAACACGTTCAGTGTCAGTAGAAGACACCAGTGTCAGTAGAACATGTTCAGTGTCATCGTTTTACTATTTTAACTCTTTTGAAGTGTCAATAGAAGATCTTTAATGTCAGTAGAACATGTCAAGTGTCAATAGAACTTTTCCAGTATTAGTAGAACATTTTCAATCCATAGAACACGTCCAGGTTCAGTAGAATATGTTTGGTGTCGTTGTTTAACTTTTTTGGAGTGTCAATAGAAGATGTTGAATGTCAGTACAACATGTCCAGTGACAGACCTTTTCCAGTATTAGTAGAACATTTTCCATCTAAAAAATATGTCCAGTGTCAGTAGAATATCTTTACTGTCAGTAGAACATGTCCAGTGTCAGTAGAACATGCCCAGTATCAGTAGAACACATCCAGTGTCAGTAGAAGTTGTCCAGTGTCAGTAGAACATGTTTAGTGTAAGAAGAACATTTTCAGTGTCAGTAGAACATCTCCAGTGTCAACAGAACATGTCCAGGTTCAGTAAAACATGCCCACCGTCAGTAGAACACTTCCTGTGTCGGTAGAAGATAGGCAGTTTCAGTAGAACACATCCAAAGTCAGTACAAGACGTCCAGTGTCAGTAGAACATGTCCAGTGTCAGCAAAACACGTTCAGTGTCAGTAGAACACATTCAGTGTCAGTAGAAATGTTCAGTGTCAGTAGAAATCTTTACTGTAGGTAGTATATGTCCAGTATCAGTAGAACATGTTCAGTGTCAGTAGAAGTTGTCCAGTGTAAGTATAACACGTCACGTGTCAGCAGAAGATATCCATTTTCAGAAGAACACGTCCGATATTAGAACAAGTTCAGTGTCAGTAGAAGTTGTTTAGTGTCAGTAGAAGGCATAGAACATTTTCAGTGTAAGTAGAAGACGTAGAGTGTCAGTAGAACATACTCAGTGTCAGAAGAAGATTTCAATTTCTTGTAGATCAGATATGGTGTCAGTGGTGTATAATACAGAGGATTCAATTTGGAATGCTGGTACATTCGCCTAGAATTTGTAGGCCTGGTAAACTGATGTAGCAGAACCGGCAGGTGCTGAGACCCACAGTGTATAGATGTTCTGTAGTTCCTGCAGTCAGTTACTGTGGTCTGTCAAATTTCATGTTGCCTTCAGATTAGTTATAGAACATTGTTTAATGAGCTTCATGAGCAATGGCATAATGACACAACAATAGGCCCGGAAGCAACATTATCTGGGTAGGCCCCATATGAAGTACAACGCATGACAAAGGTTCAGGATACAGTGACAGTTCCATAAATCGGCCAAGAAGAAACAATTATGCAATTCTCAGTATTATAAAATCACACACTGAAAAATAATGACTGCACACCTTAAATGGAAACATTGGTGACAGCGCACCACCACTTGTTACAGACATCCCAAGTGCTTATCAACCAAACCCACCCCCCCGGCATAGACAACCGACCTGAAAAGTGCCACAGTGCCCCATAACTACGCACTTTATTCCTCACCTTCATTAGACATGGATATATTTTAGTATATTGTGCTGTAAAATGAGTCTTATCGGGCTACCTTCAGCTTCACAATCTTTCGCAATCTTTACTCACTGACCTCTCCCTCTTCGGTTCTTTGAAAGAACGTGTTTATTTTGGGAAGTTTTTTCCGTTCTTCCAGCAGCTCTTCTTTGCTTTTTCTTTTCTGGAATCTGCTTAAGTACCTCTTTTTGATATCTATCATCGCTAACACATTGTACGTAACGGTTATGGTCTTAATCTATGCTCTGGGTTACCCATAATTCCTAATCGTAGTGCAAAAAATAAAATACTCTAATACATTGTTCTTTTAAGATCTTTATTGCGGTTTGAAAAATATTATATGAGTTTATTTTTTTAACCAACCATCTAATGAACTGAAAACAGTTATTAATATTGTAATTAAAAGTACCACTACCTGCTTTGCTATTGGTGTTGTGTTTAAACGGCTCACCATCATGTTGAAATCTGGCATGTGTTGCGGTATAAATACGGTCTGGTGCGCTCAATCACTTCAGTATCAAGTGGGTTTTTCACATCATTACATCTGCAAAGAGACGTCAGTCAACAATTGCTAGTCAACAATTGCGTTGGGGCCCTATCAGGTGTCAGTGATAGGGCCCCCACGAGGTTGTGGGCCCGTAAGCAACTGCTGTCTCTGCTTACCAATATTGACGCCATATTTTGTGAGGTCACATTGCAGAGCAGCTTGATCTAACCGACACACCTTAAAGTTTGCAAAGCATCAGATGTGATGCTGCAGATCAAGTCACTGAAGTCTGGAGCAGCTGACGGTTCCTTCATCTCCAAACAACACCGAGCTCCAGATGAGAATCAAGATTCATAATTACTTGAATAAAAAGGTTTAGAATGAATTAAAGTGGAGATTGAGAGCCAAACGTTTATGGCGTGCTGTTTGTAAAGTTAAGTAATCAAAAACGAAGAGCAATATTTTTGGTTATTTATCACGATACCACGGAAAAAAATTTGTTATGTTTTTCCAAGTCAGATTTTTACGATGTCATTCACACATTTATATTTCCAGTATAAATATTTGTATTGCCGGCTAAATAGTTTTAAATCCAGCTTAATATTTATTTGTCAAAATTCAATTTCTATTTTATTAGCTAAACATTAAGGATCACTAAATATTTAGTCTGCAAACTAAATATTTAGCAAATATTTTGCAATCACTGTTTTCTGCTGCTTCAATGTGGATTTGAAATTTATGTAATAAGGAATCCAAGACTGTTTTTATGGTCTATTGTTGTTTGCGTTGTTTTTATTTATTTATTTTTTAATAGTATCCTGTCTGGCCAGGTGGCAATAAAAATTGCCATCTTAATGCCAGAAAAAGCCCACAAAATTTTATTTTCACAAGTCGAGCATCATCGTTTTTGCTATAGTGGTCCGCTTGATTTATATATGTAAATTGTTTTATAGGATTTATGTAGGGAATAATTCATGTTATGTGCACACTATATTAAAAAAGTAGGAGAGAGAAATGAGAAGAAGAAAAAACAGGAGAAAAAGTGAAAGAAAGATGAGACAGAAGAGAGACATTAACAGAACCTCATTAGTCTGCTTCATTACCTGCAAAACAGCACAACCAACTGATATAGAATTACAGATACAATACTTGATACCATCACTGAACTATATACAGTATTAATGAATACAAAATATATACAGTGATAGCCAGTAGTCTAGTTGTAAGAAAAAAAAGGGGGATGGTTGATTTTTATTTTTGGAAGCATACATATCCTAATTAGTATATTTTATTAACCTAAAGCATTATGCATGGTATGGTTGTTACATGTCAGGTTTGCCGGTCATTGACCTTGACCAAGGCACCTTACAGTAGAACTGCAGTCAGTCCCTGGACTGGCATGGCTATCACTGACCCTACAGTTAGGGACTCATTTCACACTGGGATCAGCTTCATAGTCATGGTAGGACACTTCTCTGATTTTTATTTTTTTATTTTTCTCAGGCTACTCATAAACCCACAGCCCGCCAAATGTTGAAGGGGAAATATTATTGCCACTACTGTTAATATAAAGTGGAAAATTACACATTTAGTGATAAAATGTCACAGGGGATGGTATGGGGGGGATGGTCATTTGAGAAGGGGGATGATTTTAAAGATTTTTTTTAGAAGGGGAATGCCATCCCCCCTCATCTCGAGTACTGATGGAAGCTGAAGATAAAACTTGCTTGTGTGTGTGAGGTTTATCCATGGGAAAAATCCTCAATAGTGATTGTGAAGAGCCAATTTTTAAAATTTGTATTAGCATTCATTAGCGATTTAAGGATAGAAATACATTTAGTACCATAATTAAGTTATTTATGGTGATGTGGATGAATATCTTCTTGCGTATGCATAAATGAGCTGATGGTACGGATGGTACAGATCAGGCAGCTCTTGTCTCATTCAGTTTTACTTATACTCCCTCTTATTCTTTATAACGAATTTTTAATACTGTATATCCAAACTGAGTGGTAGAAAAGTAGACTAAATCCTTAAGTCTATGCTCATAAATCACAACCATAAAATAGCAAAACAACATATAACTCTACATACAATAACATCTACATACTATCTGAAGATATTAACTAATGTAGGGAAGCCGAGACCGGTCGTACTCGACTTTTTTTTCCCTCCATTTGCCTTCTCACGAAAATTACATATCTATCTCATTATCATGGTACCAGTGTGTGCAAATAATCAGTTTTTTTAGTTTCTTTTTTTCTTTTCACTCATTTTCAGGTCATGGTGGAGAACTGGATTGCATGGAATGCAGTAGAAATTAAAATCTTTAATCTGGACTCATTTTGGGGGTTAATGCATCTTATACCTGATACAGGTATAACACCCAGCACTAAGGCGCTGGAGGCATAGGTCTAATTGCTTATGAATCAGAAGCGGTAGCAAAAACCGAGAAAATTATCTTCACGTTATCACAAGAAAACAGTTTTCGTTATCTTTAGTTAATGAGGGAAATTATCTTGTTTTCTTGAGAAAACCACCATGAAAAAATATCGGAGGGACACAACGCCTTTGGCTTCCGTACATACGATCACCGATCAGTTCTAAAAATATCTTTAGGTGAACAACCTGGAGAACCAATGAACCAGATTAGAGCCTTACGGAGTTTTCAGATATTCTGTTTAAATTTATCTGAGTCTATTTATTCATTCCAGCTGCAGCTAAGGGTCTGTCTTACTTTTTGTTGATTAGCTTGGTTTATGTCAGATTTTAGGTCCTCTTTAGTAAAACAAAACACGTCAAAGCCGTTTTTTTATTAACCTGGGCACGAACCAAACATTTATCTCAATTATCAGCCTAATCCAAATCAAATGAACCAATTAACACCTTCACCATAACACAGGACAGCTCCCCATCAGCTTGTGAAGACGAAGTTTCACTTCTTCCTTTTTTTAAAGTAGTGCTCTCTGCTCCTCATTAATACGTTAATAGCTGCCAACCAGCTAGCTCACAGCTGTTTCTGCCTGCAGCATGCTCAAACGCTCTTTCTATCATAATACTCTACACACAACATTTTCCCTCTCATTCATAAAACTGTAAAATGTGGGACATTTCCAGGGACAGGTGGTCCAAAACGGAGACTGTCCCCGGAAATTGGGGACGTCTGGTCACCGTAGTCTGAGGGTCCAATCAGATTTATTGTCAAACTAAAGCAACTGGTCTTACAATTATATGAATCCTGTGCTTAAATCTGGAGGTGAGGGTCTGTGGCTCAGTGCAGCTACCTGCTGTCAGAGCTGGAGGAGGATGTTGCCATCAGCAGAAATGATGCATTTATGTTACCTTAAACTCCAAGAGTAATAAGTCTGTAATCACCTGCATAGAAACACGTTACCTGCAGCTACAGGGGGACACTTATTAACACTAAAACATCCTGATTGCCAGGTTTTTCATCGGAAACAAGAGAAAAAAAAAAGGTGGAAAATAACAGGCAAACTGTATGGAATAAATATTTTTATTCTTTAAAATATTCTTTGCTGCAAACAAAAGAATTGATGAGGAAAAAAAGGGAGAATATTTGTTTTTTTGTGCTTTATTGTCGTAATTATTTGACAGACAGAAAAGGTTTTTCTTTTTTCACCTCTTTAGTTCTTGTTTTGGAGCTTTTCACTGATGTGTTTAAAGTTCAGTTTAAACTCCCTCTCTCTGTACCTCTCAGCATGCCTACAGGAGGAGCCTACATGATGCTTCATCTTGACCCATCAGGAGGATCATGTCTGGCTCACAGCTTCAGGACTGTCTTTCTTTCTCCTGAAAATGGTATAAAAAGCTTTCTTCCTCCGGCTGACCGACGGTTCCTGAGAGTCTCCTCTGTCTCTCTTCATGGCGGACAGCTGGATGCTGGCTCCTTGTCCACTGCCAGACGAGCTGGACGAGGCGGATGAAGAGAACATGATGGAACCGGCCGGAGCTTCTGAGGTGATGAAGAGGGAGCGTGTAGAGCAGGACGAGGCGAGGACTGTGGAGGAGTTTCCTCTCAGCTCTCCCAGGCTGGAGCTCTTCTCTAGACCTCCTCCTCCCAGTCTGTGGGCGGAGCTTCCACCCTTCAAGGGGTGGGGTCTGGAGTCCAGAAGATACGGCCTGGAGTTGTTCAGAGCTTGTGATTCGTTAAGAGACAGTGGAAGGGTGGAGTCAGAGTCGGATCGGGTCATGACGTCCCTGAAAGGAAGAGAAGATGAAGATCAGAACCTGAATCCAGAGTCTTCATTACATCCTAAGTTTTCAGAACCCTGAGGGTCACTGTGAGACCGGACCACTACACTGGAAAAACGATCAAGAAATAAGTAAAACATTTCTTAAATTAAGTGTCTTTACCATTAATTTGATTAGTTAAATGAGATAGTTTGCCAATGGAATGAGTATTATTACCCTTAAAACAAGATCATTAGATATGCACTGAAATAAGACAATGCAATTGTGTTTTCTTATTTTAAGTGTAATTGTCTTAATCCATTGGCAAAATGTATCTTTTACCTCCTCAACCCGAGAACAAATGCACTTATTTTAAGAAAAAATTATCTTATCTTAATATCGATATTTTCCAGTGTAGGAACAGACCAGAACCTTCAGTCTGAGACCATTATCCAGATGTTTACAACAGCTGCATGAACAATTTAGTGGAACCAACATCCATCCATTATCCGTCCACCATTCATCCATCCATCAATCATCCGTCCGTCTATCCCTCCCTCCATCCACTAACCTCTGGGAGCCAAACGTTAACCCGGGGTCTCCTGCCCTCTGTCTCAGGGGCGCGTGAGCTGCAGTAAACAGGATGAAAGCCACACTGAATTGTTGTTTTTATTTTGAAGGAATTGATCAAAAGTTCAAAGTCAAATATCAAAAAGTTGACCAAAATCATAGGATGGGAACAGGATACCTGATGGTTTCCATGGTAACTGGGTATCCGCGATGCCGCTTAGAGGCCAAAGGTCGCTTACACGCCGATCCATTTGCCAGGCTGCGTCTGAAGCGGCCAATCAAGAGACAAGAGCAAAATGAAGAATAAGAGATGCTCTAGATCAGATTGTTCCTGAGGAAGGGACCGGATTCAAACTTACACTGCAGCGTCCCGGGAGACAAGATGTCTTCGTCCATGTCGTCCAGGTCATCTGAAAGGAGCAGGTTCTGAGGAGTCGGGGGTCTCAGGCCCAGGAAGGAGGGGTCAAGGTTGAGGGCAGCAGCCAGAGCTCCCAGACCCGGATTATTGACCACGCAGAAACCCGTCAGAGACTCGATTTGCTGCCAGCGGTGGAGTTTCTCCCGCAGGGCCGCTGTTACTTCAGCCAGGGCCTGTCTGGGGTGGGGGCAGACAGCATTAGAGAACACAGACTCTGTAGGTTGCAGTCCGGTTCTAAAGGCCTAAAACCAAACAGCAGGACCAGACGACCTCCTAGCTACGGGTTCTTTAGCGAGGTGATGACTTACTTGGCTGAGAGGATTTTATGGTCGACGTCATCCAGTGAAGAACTGTGAGCCACGTGGAACGTTCCAAACAGAGAACTTCTCTTCTTCTTGATCTTCTCTGCCTGGAACAGCATCAGTGTGAGCAAAGAGTCATCTGCAAACATTTTCGTCATCACTGATTTCCCTACAGCAACTCATCCTTTAAGGTGGACTGGCTCAACCCTTCTTCAGCTCTCCTTTCTGTCATTCAGAACACTTTAAAACTCTGATGGTTCTCTTCATTGTGAGGCAAAGCCTGAGAAATGAGACCTCAAAGTTTATTTAGGATCCTCACCCCATCTCTGGCCTGCAGCAGCTGCTTCTCTGCGCTCTGTTTCTTGCTGTTGTAGTACTGAACTTCTACTTCATGCGTCAGCTGCAGCCACTTCTGCAGAGCGTCTGGTGGCGTCCAGCGAGCCCGTGACTCAAGCTCCCTCTCAGCATTCTTCAGCGCCATACGGACCTGCAGAAGACAGAGCAGTAAGGATCAGCAAAGGAACCATTTGAAACCTGCCCACTCATTGGTTAGAACCTGCTCATGATATGTTAGAACTAAACATGTACCGGTGTCTGTTTTGGGAGCCGATTGTCAATGAATGGTCATAGCATCAAACCAAAAAATTCTTCAACTGCTCTCTCCTAGGTAGGTATTAGGTATCAAATTATAAGAGATGAGAAAATATCATGAATTAACCACCATTTTAGTGGAGGAGGCAGAGCAGATGAGATTTTTATTCGATCAAAATGGAAGAAAATTATGTTGACAAAGGATGAAGTGGGGAATGCTCTGAAGAGGTTTGTAAGGTTCTTTTAAAAAAAGCCGTTTTAACTGTTTCATCATCCTACCTCCACCACAAACATCGATAAGTAGTCACCTTTTCTCAATGCCTCGCCTCCAAGTCTGACTAGCAGGCTTCTCTGATCCCCCACTGTCATTCTTTCGCCTTCAGCAGTTAGCCTCGGCCAGACTCTGCCTCTCTCTGCTGATTCTCCCTGGCAGGCCACTCAACAGTCCTACTGCAAGCCAACAGCAGCAGCCTTTCGCCCACCCTCAGCATTCTGTATGCCCGGCAGGTTTATCCGATCTTCAACTGTGCACCTTGGATTTTCCATAATTAGCCTAGTTGGCCTCGGTCAGTCATAGCCTCACTCTGCCCTGGTGCTGTTTCCCTCGCTCTACTCCGATCTACCACTGTGCTCCTCTTGAGTTGCCTTATCTCCCCTTTCTCTGCCACAACGTCTGCCCTTCTGGCTCCTACGATCTACTGCTGTTTTTCCTTATGCTGCCTTTATGTGCTCAGGTAAAGATGACCCTTTCCAATTGTAAAGTGAAAATTAAAAGTACATTGTGTTTAATTGCCTTGTTATGTTGGAGAAGAGGATTATGGTTGATTTAAACATTAAGCCGAGGCTTTAACCATGAAGCAGGATTACTGGCTTACCGAGATAACTTCAGGTTTAACCCGGACTTTCCAGTGCCACAAAGGTGGATTCATTCGGAGCAAGGCTAGTCACCGTGGTAACATACTTTATTTTTCATACACAAACCCTTTACTTTTCTGTATTTGTTTTCAAATGGTTTACTGCATAATTGTTATATGAAGCTAAATAAAAAAATGATGGCACTCTGACTAAAAAAAACATGTGCAGGAGAAATATGCCTGTCCGCTCACAAAACAATTACCCCTCCTTGAAATGGGCTGTCTTCATAATGAATGGCCGGTTAACAGTTATGGCCGATGATATGAAAATCGTCTTAACGAGAACTAATGATTGACCAGTGTAAGTCTACCTAAAACCTGCCAATGATTACTTATAAACTCCCTATGACTGGTCAGAACCTGCCAGCGACTGGTCAAAACGGGCGTGCGACTGGTCAAAACGGGCGCGCGACTGGTCAAAACGGGCGCGCGACTGGTCAAAACGGCCGCGCGACTGGTCAAAACGGGCGCGCAACTGATCAGACTGGTTAGAACATGGCCTCGACTGGTTAGAACGGGCCCGCGCATGCTTAGAACCTGCCCGCGACAGCTTAGAACCTGCCCGTGACAGCTTAGAACCTGCCCGCAACTTGTTAGAACCTGCCCGCGATTGTTTAGAACCTGCCCGCGATTGTTTAGAACCTGCCCGCGATTGTTTAGAACCTGGCCGCGACTGTTTACAACCTGGCCGCGACTGGTTAAAACGGGCTCGCGACTGGTTAGAACCTGCCCGCGACTGGTTAAAACGGGCCCGCGACTGGTTAGAACCTGCCCGCGACTGGTTAGAACCTGGCCGCGACTGGTTAAAACGGGCCCGCGACTGGTTAAAACGGGCTCACGACTGGTTAGAACCTGCCCGCGACTGGTTAGAACCTGCCCGCGACTGGTTACCGCGACTGGTTAGAACCTGCCCGCGACTGGTTAGAACCTGCCCGCGACTGGTTAGAACCTGCCCGCGACTG